TCAGAGAAGAGACATGGAGATCAGGCCGGCCAGGGATCCCAAGCTCACCTCCACAGCACCGCTCGACTCCGGGCCTGATGAGGTTGTCGTTGTTGGCGCTGCTTCCACACTGCACGGGCAATACCCGCCAGAGCAGTCGCCGGTGAGCTCGTTCGTCGGCTTGTCATAGCTGGCTGAGTTTGCTGATCCGCTCGGGAAGAAGCTGTTCGGATAGCAGGAGCTCTCAAAGCCGTGCTTGACGCAGATGTCGTAGTACTCCTTGGTTTCCATGAAGCTGGCAAGGCATGAGTTGATCAGCCCCGGCACAGCCGAGCCGGGTTTGGTCATCGCCAAAGTCGTGCCGTTGACGGCCCAGCCCTTCTGCCCCGTCTGGACGTAGGCGAACTCTGTGCCGAAGCCTGACCAAAGGCTGCAATCCCATTCTGCTGCCACGTCTGCGGAGGCACACTGGTAGAGGTGAGCTTGGTCCGCGTAGAGGAACACCGCATCACCCTCGCCGTTGCGCAGCATCCGCATGGCATCGTCGTTCTCGGGGCCGACCACCAGGGTGTAGTTGGACGAGTAGGGCTGGTTGGTGCACTTGTTGGTCACGTAGCCCAGTCCATCTGCTGTCGGAGCCCAACCACCAACGTCGATGATCGTCTTCCCGGCCAAGTCGTCCATGCCGCTGACCACCGGCTTGCCGTTCAAGAGCAAGGTCATGAGACCCGCCGGCTTGTTGTCGTCAAGGATGGCGAGGGACCAGTCAGCCAGGGTGTCACGGAGTCCACGGCCATGGCTGTACGTCATGCAAGCGTCCAAGGTCCCATTCTCGAGCAGTGGCCCGAGCTTGCCATCTGAGGTCCAGCAGTTCAGCCAGCCCGTCTCCACCGCCTCGATGGTCAGGTTGTCACAGAGCGCAGTCATGCCGTCCGCGATGTCCTTGCCGATGCCAGCGAGCTCACCCGTAGTCGTGTTCTTGTATGCGTAGGGGGGCCAATCCTAGGGCGCGCTAGCAGGCTCTATCTGTCTATCTGTCTTTGCCCGGGCCCTTCAACCAAACCCACGCAAACCCTCACAAGGCAAAAGAGAAGAAAGAACAGAAGAAGAAAGAAGCGGCAAGGGTCGATGTCCATGCCGAACCTCAAGGTCACGCCGTGGACTGAGCCCAGGAGGCTCAGGAGGCTGGCGCTGCGCATCAAGACGTACCTGGCTTGCTCAACCTACTGCATATATTGAAGTGTGCGCACTAGGGTACACCATACGATGTTACTATATTGTAGTATACCATAGCATGTACTCGGCCGAGGGTACATGGTGGCAAAGAAGCCCTGGACGCAGACGAGGCTGGTGGGGACAGGTCTCTGAGCCAAGCTGAAGCTTTTTGTGAGAAGCGTTGTTGCCACCCTTCGCCAACCCTAAGCCGACTAGGCCTGGGGCCCTGCACTGCAGGCACCTTTTCCGGTTTGGGGTATAGGCGCAATGCTGCAGAAAGCCTTCCGCTTCTCAAGTCAAGGTTCATCTTCGCAATCCAGAGCCACTACAGCCGCCCCTCTAAAGCCTCCTTAGAACCTAATGCAAATGGTGTAGTCCCTCTGACCCTAAACCCTACACCCTGAACCCTAGACCCTAAACCCTGAAGGGGGACGTCTGGGGCTCCAACCACCTGAATTCCACGAGGTCTCGGCCCTGAGGGTGCAAGGCATGTGCCACGGTTTAGGGATTAGGCTTTAGGGTTTATGAGTTGGGGCTTAGGGCTTCAAGGGATTAGGGCTTATGATTTGGGGTTTAGGGTTTATGATTTGGGGTGTAGGGTTTCAAGGGATTAGGGTTTATGGTTTGGGGTTTAGGGTTTCAAGGGATTAGGGTTTATGGTTTGGGTCTAGGTTCCGGTAGCAAAGAATTACATTTTGGGGTTCAGGGCTCCAAGCCTTAGGCTCGATTGCAATGAAAATGTATCGGATTTCTGGGTTGAGGCTGGACCACTAAGCCTACCTAAAGGGCTACAGAGCAGTACCATGTAGGGTACAGTATCTAAAAACCCTAATCCCAAGAGCAAACCAGAGCCAACCCCAGACACAATTACCTTCGCCTCCAAAAGAAATCACCCCTTTGCCGCACTCTGTGAGAGTTTGGGGTCTCAGGTGTGCTGCAGGTCGGAAGGGCGGGGCCAGGCGGCTCGGCTGACGTCTGCAGGCTCTAGAGTGGCCTTTCAAAGACCTGGTGTCAACAAGACAAGCCAGGGCCTTCCTAGAATAGGTTACAAGTGCCTTAACTACACTTGGTACAGCAAGGGGGGGGCCCTAAACACTAAACCCTAAAGGCCTCTGAGGCTTCTTGCGCCCTCACCCCCAGATTCATCAACTCGGAAGCAGATCTGATAATAGTCACAATCATAGCAAATAATGATGTATGAGAAAGCCGCTATAACGACGATAAACATAATAACCACAATACTAACAACAACAATAGTAAGATGACAATAACACTAACATAACGACCAGAACATACATACTAAGAACAATGAGGGAGCAACAACAAAAACAATAACAACAGCAACAACAATAACACTGCTACTGCTACTTTCTCGGTGGCGCCCATTGCACGACAACCCTGAAACTGCGGAGCTCCAAAGAGCCAACCCGCAGCTCTGAGCAATTTTTACGTCTTAGGGGAGGTTCAAGGGCGTGTTTAGGATTTGGGACCCAGGGCCCCCAAACCATAAAGCCCTTCCTAAGCCCCAAAGGCCTAAAGGCCCTGAAGCTAAACCCTAAACCCTAAACCCTAAACCCTAAACCCTAAACCCCGACTTACACTCGCAAGCCTTGAGTCGTAGGTTGCCCAGCCATATGGGGAGCCCCACATCCTGGATGCTTAAGGTTGGGGGGGGTGTAGGACCAGGAAGCGGAAAGGGTTTAGGGTTTAGGGTTTAGGGTTTAGGGTTTAGGGTTTAGGGTTTAGGGTTTAGGGTTTAGGGTTTAGGGTTTAGGGTTTAGGGTTTAGGGTTTAGGGTTTAGGGTTTAGGGTTTAGGTTTTCTCAACCCTCCCGAAACTCTAGGTGTATGGCCTTGAGGAGGACTACGAGGCTCGCAAGGTTCAAGGTTCGGATCCCAGATGCGGTAGGGATTCAGCCTTTGGGGGGGGGGGGGGGGCCTAAACCCAAAAACCGGGGATTAAAATTAACGCGAAGAAGCAAGTACATAGAACCCCCTGATAAACAAGCAGACCGTAGTGGGCGTTGGGCTCCAAAAGCATATTGCCCTTTTCACCCTTCGTTTGACTCTGGGACCTTCTGCTTATAACTATGAACGTGTGAGCCGGCGAAGGGTTTAGGGTTTAGGGTGATAGGGGCAGCCGTATACTAAACTCAACGGGTCTTCTTCTCCAACAGCTGTAGTTGTGCAGAACCTTGGAATTACGAAGAAAGTATTGATTCTTGCAAGATGTCTTCAGATTCAAGTATATTAAATCGTTTTTTATTGACAATAATGCTGCTGCAGCAGATACACCTTCATCAGTCCTTGATGAACCAGTTAATCCACGTTTTCTACAATTGAAGGTACCATGACATCACACAATGAAAAAGCTCAGGGGATTAGAGCGGGATAATCCTGGCCATTTTTCGGCCCCCTGTACATCCCTAAAGCCCTACATCCCACGCCCCAAACTCCTCTAACCCTAAACTAACCTTGAACCCTAAACCCCTTGAAGCCTTAGGCCCTAGACAGGATCTGAGGACACTACCAATCTCCAGAGTGGGACCAATCTGCTTCGGGCGCCAGCATCGCGAAACCTGCCTCAAGCACGACTTTCGGGTTGTTTTCTAGGTTTTGGGTGTAGAGTTTAGGGTTTAGGGTTTGGGTCTAGGCTAGTTACATGGTCCCTTCGTATGGGCCCTTAAATGGGGGGCCCCCCTATCACCCCTTATATAGCGGCCATATTAAGGGACCATGTAACTTCAAGATTTACGGGTTTCTGGTTTAGGGTTTAGGGCTTAGGGCCTTCGGGTTTAGGGCATTATGCTTTTGTTGGCTTTGTTTTGTTGGCGGATGTAGGGCTCCGAAAGTTCCAGGGTTTAGGGTTTAGGGTTTTTTTAGGGTTTAGGGTTTACGGCTTTCGGCTTTCGGGTTTAGAGTTGGCTTTCGGGGTGTTAGGGCGCGGGGCTTAGGGTTGAGGGACCCTGCCCCCCGCAAACCCAAAAACGATGACCCAGTGAACCCTAAACCCCTGAAACGGACGAAAGTCCCCAACGCTTGGTGCGGAGGCTGTAAATTACCCCTCACTAGGGGTAGGGTTCAAGGCTTAGGGTTTAGGGCTTCGGGTTTAGGGTATAGGGTACGAGCCGCTATTTGGGAAATATCCATATTGTTCAGGGTTTACGATTTATCAGGGTCAGTGAAAAAACTGCACCGGGGCGGCAGATCGAAAGGTGCTCAGATAGTGTGAATGCTTGAAGGCTAAGCCTGGCAGGCATTTGTGGTTGCTACGGTTTAGGGTTTAGGGTTTAGGGTTTAAGGTTTAGGGTTTAGGGTTTAGGGTTTAGGGTCTAGGGTCTAGGGTCTAGGGTCTCGGGTCTAGGGTCTCGGGTTGGGGGCTTAAGGTTTAGGGTTTAGATGACCTCGCGGGCAAGTTCTCCACAAAACCCGCTGCCAGCTCTAAACATTCAAGACCTTATAAGTTAGAAGCCCTGAGCATGCCTGGTCGTCAATCGGATAACGAAGCGAGCAGTTTTCTCGCTTCGGAAGGCAAAGTACAAGAAAGTTCCCTAGGAAGTGAACGGATCACGTAAGATGAAGGGTACAGTTATGGAGTTGTGAACCGTCTTGGGCGTGTCACGCACAAGTTAAGCTGCGTGTGGTTATGTGAAGGGTAACTGGGCGCATCGGTCAGATGCACAGTCGCTTATGCTGCGGTGAAATCAGAGCCGGTTTTCGGCGATTTGATCCGACACGCAAGGCGGACCTGCGTTCTAGAACTACTATCATAAGCTCTAAGCCCCAAGTGTTACACGGCAGCAGGCTCACAAGCAATGTCCAGCGCCGATCCGGCCACGGAATGACACTGAACCAACAAGCATGCTCGCACCGATGAAAAATGCAACACATGATGGGCAGCAAACCCTAAACCCTAAACCCTAAACCCGAAACCCCTAAACCCTAAATCCCCATGTCGCCGATTTTCCCGGTGTCTCCGCAAGCCGGTGCTGGCATCCTTCAAGCCGGGAGCCGGTGACAAATGAAGACCAGGAAGGCCTGCGATAGGGCTTCGGGTTGAAGGGTTTAGGGTTTAGGGTTTGGGGTTTAGGGTTTACGGTTTGGGGTTTAAGGGTTTAAGGATGTTTGAGGGTTTAGGAGTTTATAGGGTTTAGGGCTTTAAGGGCTTAAGGATGTTTAAGGGTTTAGGAGTTTAGGGTTGAGGGTTTAAGAAAGGGGGGCTGTATCGGTTGAGGGTTTAGGGTTTAAGGGTTTAGGGGTTTAGGGTTTAAGGGTTTAAGAGGTTTAGGAGGTTAGAAGTTTAGGTGTACAGGGCTTAGGAGTTTAGTGTTCACGGGCTTAGGAGTTTAGGGTTTAAGGGAGTCTGGTTTTGGGAAGAAAGTGTTTCATCACTCTGCTCGTCACCGTGCACTTCTGAGATACCGTTGCACAAGAGCCGCTTAAAGATTTAAGGGCTTAGGGTTCAAGGTTTATAAGATAAATTCTAAGGTTTGTAGGAACCAGTGCATTGGCACATTGAATTCAAGGAGCCAGTTGCTTCGAGATCTTCCTGGTGTAGGGCTCGGCACATCGCTTGGGTTGCTTTGCGTTGAGGGTCCCTTGTGCTCAACTTAGAGGACATGCCTGAGATCGAGCTCCTGACGAGCAGAAAGGACTGAACCTGCACTGGTCACTCTGCAGTCGCCTGGCCTTCGAGCATGCGTCTCAATGTGCACTGCTTGGTGTTTTTTTTGGCATTGCTCTTAGTCATGGCACGCGGCGAGCCTGGAGTACCGGTGCTCCTTTCGGCCCGCGATCACGTTTCGTGACTTTTCGTGCTTCAGTACATGTTGCGGGGGGGGTCTCTAGCAAGTCCGCCAGCCCCCCAAAAGACATGCAAGGGTCAGTCTTAAAACGGAACGTGTTGCGTGAAGACCTGCTTCAAACAGTCAGTACCTGCTTCGGAGCCTTCCTGGCTTCTTGCAGCTTCTGCACTTCAAAGCGGCTGCTGTGTAGCAAGCTACTATGTAGACTGCCTCACAGCAGGCTCGTGGATCCAAAACAGAACTCAAATTCAAGCTGTCAAACACCATTGAAAACATGAAAAGGCCTCAGCTCAGAGAAGAGACATGGAGATCAGGCCGGCAAGGGATCCCAAGCTCACCTCCACAGCACCGCTCGACGTCGGGCCTGCTGAGGTGGTCGTTGTTGGCGCTGCTTCCACACTGCACGGGCAATACCCGCCAGAGCAGTCGCCGGTGAGCTCGTTCGTCGGCTTGTCATAGCTGGCTGAGTTTGCTGATCCGCTTGGGAAGAAGCTGTTCGGATAGCAGGAGCTCTCAAAGCCGTGCTTGACGCAGATGTCGTAGTACTCCTTGGTTTCCATGAAGCTGGCAAGGCATGAGTTGATCAGCCCCGGCACAGCCGAGCCGGGTTTGGTCATCGCCAAAGTCGTGCCGTTGACGGCCCAGCCCTTCTGCCCCGTCTGGACGTAGGCGAACTCTGTGCCGAAGCCTGACCAAAGGCTGCAATCCCATTCTGCCGCCACGTCTGCGGAGGCACACTGGTAGAGGTGAGCTTGGTCCGCATAGAGGAACACCGCATCGCCCTCGCCGTTGCGCAGCATCCGCATGGCATCGTCGTTCTCGGGGCCGACCACCAGGGTGTAGTTGGACGAGTAGGGCTGGTTGGTGCACTTGTTGGTCACGTAGCCCAGTCCATCTGCCGTCGGAGCCCAACCACCAACGTCGATGATCGTCTTCCCGGCCAAGTCGTCCATGCCGCTGACCACCGGCTTGCCGTTCAAGAGCAAGGTCATGAGACCCGCCGGCTTGTTGTCGTCAAGGATGGCGAGGGACCAGTCAGCCAGGGTGTCACGGAGTCCACGGCCATGGCTGTACGTCATGCAAGCGTCCAAGGTCCCATTCTCGAGCAGTGGCCCGAGCTTGCCATCTGAGGTCCAGCAGTTCAGCCAGCCCGTCTCCACCGCCTCGATGGTCAGGTTGTCACAGAGCGCCGTCATGCCGTCCGCGATGTCCTTGCCGATGCCAGCGAGCTCACCCGTAGTCGTGTTCTTGTATGCGTAGGGGGGCCAATCCTAGGGTGCGCTAGCAGGCTCTATCTGTCTATCTGTCTTTGCCCGGGCCCTTCAACCAAACCCACGCAAACCCTCACCAGGCAAAAAAAAAGAACGAGCAGACAGACGAGGGTCGATGTCCATGCCGAACCTCAAGGTCACGCCGTGGACTGAGCCCAGGAGGCTCAGGAGGCTGACGCTGCGCATCAAGACGTACCTGGCTTGCTAAGCAGATCCTATGGGAAACGTGGGCACCAACTCGCGCACGACTCACTTAGCCTGGTACAACAAGACGTATTCGGCGCAGTATGCTATAATACTATAGCATGTCGTACTCTTTGTATCATGCCTGCTACGCTGCGAAAAACTTTACTATCCATGCTGTAGTACACGCAAAAAAGGTACATCGTACAACGTAGTATACATGCTATTACAGTAGTACTGAATCCCGGGTACATGGTGGCAAAGAAGCCACGGGACGCAGAAGAGGCTGGTGAGGGCAGGTCTCTGAGCCAACAGCTAACGCCTTTTCCGAAGGGTTGTTGCCAACTCCCTGGGCCCGCAGGCACCTTTCCGGTTTGGGAGCCGGCGGCAAATCTGTATCGGCTGAGGGTCGAGGGGTTCAGTTTAGGGTTTAGGGTTTAAGGGTTTAGGGGTTTAGGGTTTAGTGTTCAGTGGTTGCGTAAGGGTTTTTTAAAGTTGAAAGAAGTTTAATGAGGGCTTAGGGTTTAGGGTTTCTCTGAAATTACGCAGAAGGTGGTTCATCACTTTACAGTCGCCTTGCACTCGAGCACGTGCGTCGGTGTGCACTGCGCGAGTCCAGCCTGGAGTACCGGTGCTCCATTCGGCCGGCAATCGCATTTCGCGACTTGTGGCTTTCGTGCTTCAGTACATGTTTGGGGGGGGGTCTCTAGCAAGTCTGCCAGCCCCCCAAAAGACGTGCAAGGGTCAGTCTTGAAACGAGATGTCGTGCATGAAGATCAGTAGCTGCTTCTGAGCCTTCCTGGCTTCTTGCAGCTTCTGCACTTCAAAGCGGCTGCTGTGTAGCAAGCTACTATGTAGACTGCCTCACAGCAGGCTCGTGGATCCAAAACAGAACTCAAATTCAAGCTGTCAAACACCATTGAAAACATGAAAAGGCCTCAGCTCAGAGAAGAGACATGGAGATCAGGCCGGCAAGGGATCCCAAGCTCACCTCCACAGCACCGCTCGACGTCGGGCCTGCTGAGGTGGTCGTTGTTGGCGCTGCTTCCACACTGCACGGGCAATACCCGCCAGAGCAGTCGCCGGTGAGCTCGTTCGTCGGCTTGTCATAGCTGGCTGAGTTTGCTGATCCGCTTGGGAAGAAGCTGTTCGGATAGCAGGAGCTCTCAAAGCCGTGCTTGACGCAGATGTCGTAGTACTCCTTGGTTTCCATGAAGCTGGCAAGGCATGAGTTGATCAGCCCCGGCACAGCCGAGCCGGGTTTGGTCATCGCCAAAGTCGTGCCGTTGACGGCCCAGCCCTTCTGCCCCGTCTGGACGTAGGCGAACTCTGTGCCGAAGCCTGACCAAAGGCTGCAATCCCATTCTGCCGCCACGTCTGCGGAGGCACACTGGTAGAGGTGAGCTTGGTCCGCATAGAGGAACACCGCATCGCCCTCGCCGTTGCGCAGCATCCGCATGGCATCGTCGTTCTCGGGGCCGACCACCAGGGTGTAGTTGGACGAGTAGGGCTGGTTGGTGCACTTGTTGGTCACGTAGCCCAGTCCATCTGCCGTCGGAGCCCAACCACCAACGTCGATGATCGTCTTCCCGGCCAAGTCGTCCATGCCGCTGACCACCGGCTTGCCGTTCAAGAGCAAGGTCATGAGACCCGCCGGCTTGTTGTCGTCAAGGATGGCGAGGGACCAGTCAGCCAGGGTGTCACGGAGTCCACGGCCATGGCTGTACGTCATGCAAGCGTCCAAGGTCCCATTCTCGAGCAGTGGCCCGAGCTTGCCATCTGAAGTCCAGCAGTTCAGCCAGCCCGTCTCCACCGACTCGATGGTCAGGTTGTCACAGAGCGCAGTCATGCCGTCCGCGATGTCCTTGCCGATGCCAGCGAGCTCACCCGTAGTCGTGTTCTTGTATGCGTAGGGGGGCCAATCCTAGGGCCTAGCCGGCTCTATCTGACTTTGCCCGGGCCCTTCAACCAAACCCACGCAAACCCTCACCAGGCAAGAAAAAAGAACGAGCAGACAGACGAGGGTCGATGTCCATGCCGAACCTCAAGGTCACGCCGTGGACTGAGCCCAGGAGGCTCAGGAGGCTGGCGCTGCGCATCAAGACGTACCTGGCTTGCTAAGCAGATCCTATCGGAAACGTGGGCACCAACTCGCGCACGACTCACTCAGCCTAGTACAGCAAGACGTATTCGGCGCAGTATGCTATAGCATGTCGTACTCTTTGTATCATGCCTGCTACGCTGCGAAAAACTTTACTATCCATGCTGTAGTACACGCAAAAAAGGTACATCGTACAACATAGTATACATGCTAGTATAGTAGTACTGAATCCCGGGTACATGGTGGCAAAGAAGCCACAGGACGCAGACGAGGCTGGTGAGGGCAGGTCTCTGAGCCAACAGCTAACGCCTTTTCCGAAGGGTTGTTGCCAACTCCCTGGGCCCGCAGGCACCTTTCCGGTTTGGGAGCCGGCGGCAAATCTGTATCGGTTGAGGGTCGAGGGGTTCAGTTTATAGGGTTTAGGGTTTAAGGGTTTAGGGGTTTAGGGCTTAGTGTTCAGTGGTTGCGTAAGGGTTGATTAAAGTTGAAAGAAGTTTAATGAGGGCTTAGGGTTTAGGATTTCTCTGAAATTACGCAGAAGGTGGTTCATCACTTTGCAGTCGCCTTGCACTCGAGCACGTGCGTCGGTGTGCACTGCGCGAGTCCAGCCTGGAGTACCGGTGCTCCATTCGGCCGGCAATCGCATTTCGCGACTTGTGGCTTTCGTGCTTCAGTACA